TGTGAGGAGAATGCTGGCCCTTTGCTTTTCTGGAAGAGTATATAGAATTCAAAGTAGATTTCCACTTTCTCTGTTCCACTAATTCAGTTACCACTTATTCTGTTTGCTAGCATCCTAAATTTTGTTGACATCTGTTATCTGCTATAGTTTCCTTTTTCCTTTGGCCTTGGGGATTTATGCTTTAAAAATAATCCTTTATTGCTATTTTATCAGGTTTTTGCAGAGTATAGCAAAAATTCCTGTTTAATTTGCCATATTTTACAGGAAAATGTTGAACTATGATTATAAATATAAGGCTGGGCATGGTGGTTCTATAATCCTAACACTCTGGGAGGTCAAGGTAGGAGGATTGCTTGAAGCCAGGAGTTTGAGAGTAGCCTGAGAAAGAGTGAGACCCTGTCTCTACAAAAAAATAGAAAAATTAGCCAGGTGTGGTGGCATGTGTTTATAGTCCCAGCTAATCGGGAGGCTGAGGCAGGAGGATTGCTCGAGCCCAGTTGTTTGAGGCTGCAGTGAGCTATGATTGGGCCACTGTACTCTCGTCCAGGCAGCAGAGATTGTCTCATTAGAAAAAAAAAGTTCATGAAAAAAAGTTCATAAAAAGACATCACTGAGAGTGAAAAGGCAAACACAGATTGGGAGAAAATATTCACAATACATTTATCTGACAAAAGACTTAAGACTATATGAAGAATTGTAACTCAGTAAGAAAGAAAATCCAGTAGAAAAATGGGCATATAATTAAACAGATAACACAAATGAGAATATTCAAATAACTAATAAACACATGAAATAGTTCTTCATCATCTGTCATCAGGGAAATGCAAATTAAACTACAGTGAAAAATCTCTACCTACCTACCAGAGGGCTAAAATGAGAAGGATGGGAAAAATATCAACTATGACAAAGATATGGAGCTGAACTTTCATACACTGCTGTTGGGAGTGCAATGTGCAACTCCTTGTGAGAATGGCTTGGTGTTACCTACCAAAGCACAGTAGGCTTGTTCTCACTGACTCAAAGATTGCACTCCATGCTGCTGCTGAATATGAACTGCAGAAACCCCTCTGGAAAACTCTGGTGTTATCTACTAAAGGTGAATATATGCACATCCTAGAAAACAGCACTTCCACTCTCACGTGCTTGCCAAACAGAAATGAATACATACATTCATCAAAAGATTAAGTACATAGTGTTCATAGCAGTACTAGCTAACAGCCAAACACTTAAAATTACCAAAATGCTCATCAACAGTAGAGCGGATAAATGATTCATGTATTTACATACTGGAATTCAACGATGACAATGAACAATCTGCTACGTGCAACAATGTGGCCACGATGAACAATGTGCTACGTGCAACAATGTGGCCGAATATCACAACCTTAAGGTTGGGTGGAAGAAGCCAGTACACAAAACTGTAAGGTATGATTTCACTTATGCAGAGCACAAAAGCAGGCAGAACTCATCTATGTTGTTAGAAGTCAGTGTAGTTGGTACCCTTGGGGCTGGGGAACAATAGCAACAGTAATGTTTCCAGATCTGGGTATTGGTTTTATGGGTGTGTTCAGTTTGTGAAAATACATATATTTAGACAAGAACTTTTCTGCAAGAATTTTATCTTTAAATAAAAAGTTATGTTTTTTTATATTTAGTATGTACAGCAGTATGCATAGTAAAAAGTGAAATCCTTCTCTTCCTTACCACCACCCTCTCTAGGCCAACCATATTTAACAGTCCGCTACGCATCCTAGACTTCAATGCCAGGGTTTCTCAGCCTTGGCACCTTTGACATTTTGGGTTAGATAATCCGTGTTGTGGAGGGCTGTCTTAGGATGTTAAGGAGTAACCATGGCCCTCTCTACCCAGTAGAAGCCAGTAGCAACCCACCCCCACAGTACTGACAACCAAAAATGTCTCTAGACATTGTCAAATGTCCTACATGGGACAAAACTGCTTCAGCTTCAGAATTGTAAACTGCAAATTGCAATTGCAAATTGCTTCAGAATACAGAGCTCCAGCTCTACATAGAAACATTTATATGTATGTATATAGCTTCTTTTAATGCTGTATACAAAGATCTATATTATTTTGTTATTGCATATATCATTATCCAGTCTCCTACATATAGTTGTTCCAATTTTTTGTTTTAAAAACAATGCTATACTTAACATCTTTATTGAAATATAAATATGTATCTAAAAACCAAATAAATATTAATATTTATATATTAAATGTAAGTACATGTGAAAATTTTATAAATATATAAATATTTGTAAGTTATAGCATTATTTATATATACCTCCTTATTTTTTTTTATTATTTTCTCAGTATAAACTTCCAGAAGTGGAATGCTAGGTCAAAATGTGTATTTATTTAAAAGTGAATGAGGGAAGGGTACACTGGAATATAGCAATTCTTTGTACTATACTTTTTACTTTTCTGAGAATCTGAAAACATTTTACAACAAAAAGCAAATAAGTAAATAAATACATTCAAAAGAGAGAATATCTCTTTTCTCACAACTTTGCCAACATGTTTGGGTGTTATCTTTTCATCTTTGATAATTGGCTAGGTTAAAAATATAAGGAAAAAAATACTGCTCATTATTTTAATTTGTATTGATTTTTTTTTCCTCTCATGGTATTCACTTTTTCCTTATTGATTTGTAAGCATTCTTTACAAGCTGAGAAAGCCAATTAGACATTAGCTACACTATAGTAATACACAGTCCTCATCACTTCACAGTTTAGCAGTTTAAATCTAAGACTAAGAAGAAAGAAAAACCCAAAGGGTTAGCAGGCTGTTCAAGACTAATTACTTGTAACATTGTTACCTCACACAGCTCAACTAAGTGCTGAACCACAGATTCCTTTCTCTGTCGGAAATTTACAGTCTGCAGTTGATTTTCAGACAAAAATTCCCAGGCTTTTAGGATTGTTGTCATTTGACTCATGGGGATTTTCAAGATGGTCCTCTTGATAAACTCGGCCACAGTCTCATCCATCTCTTTGGCACTTTAATAAAACAAACACAGCACAACAAAGCATTAACCAAATACAACATTTTCCAGCATATTTTTAAGCTGGGATTTTGATTTGTAGGTGAAACACCCAAATGCTTACCTTTTTCAGCCACTTTGCAAACAGTTTCAGCATGAAGATTTTAATTATTTTGTCCTTAAGCTGTATATAAATATTTAAATATATTTTGGAGCAGAGGTCCCCAACATTTTTGGCACCAGGGACCTGATTCACGGAAGACCCTTTTTTCACAGGGGAGGGGGAGGCGAAGCTGGCAGGGAGGGAGGCAGAGCTCAGGCGGTGTTGCAAGCCATGTGGCTGTAAATACAGATGAAGCTTCCCTTGGTTGCCTGGAGCTCCCCTCCTGCTGTGCAGCCCAGCTCCTAAGTTTCATGAAAGATAATTTTTTAAGTTTCATGGAAGATAATTTTTCCAAAGGCGGGCTGGGGAGGGGCGGAGCTCAGGCAGGGATGCCACACCCGGTTCCTAACAGGCCACAGACCGGTCTGCACCCCGGGGATTGGGGACCATAAGAACTTGATAAATGCTTGTGGAATGAGTGACTATATACTCTAAGCAGCATGCTCGCGGAGATCACCTGGGCAGGATTAAGTCAGTGAAACATCAACACTTTTTTTTTTGAGACCGAGTCTCACTCTGTTGCCCCAGGTAGAGTGCAGTGGCATCCCCGTAGCTCACAGCAACCTCAAACTCCTGGGCTCAAGCGATCCTCCTGCCTCAGCCTCCCGAGCAGCTGGGACTACAGGCACGCGCCACCATGCCCGGCTAATTTTTTCTATATATTTTAGTCATCCGGCTAATTTCTATTTTTAGTAGAGACAGGGTCTCGTTCTTGCTCAGGCTGGTCTCAGACTCCTGACCTTGAGCAATCCTCCCTCCAGGGCCTCCCAGAGTGCTAGGATGACAGGCGTGAACCACCACGCCGCGCCAAACCAACACTTTTAAGGACACTTGGGGTTGGGGTAGCTGTTAAAATGAAGATCCCACGGCCCTATCAAGTTAAACTGAAGGGAGAGCGCGCATACAGGGCTTGAGATTCAGCATTCTGGGTAGAGTTTGCAGAACCCCCATTCTAAAGAAATCTGGTAGTGTGTGCTCAAGTCTCACCAATAAAGTCGGGAAACCCTTTAATAAGCGTTTCCCCTGTGACTATTTTTAAACCTTATTTGTACTTCCCAGCGCCAGGGTAAAGGGACCAGAAAGGAAGGAAGCCGAGAGGAGCTCAGGACCAAAACAGAACCCCAGCTGAGGCCAAAGTGGCAACCCTAAGCTCTGACAGCGGAGCAGCCAGTTGCCTGCAAAGCCGGCACGCGCTTGCGCAGACGCGCGTCTACGTAAGCTCGGCCCCGCCCCGCCCCAACAGGGCGGAAGTGACGTCACGACTGGCCCAGCATCCCCCGCCCGCTCTCACCTCACCGTCTACCGTAGTTCGCCCCCCACCCTGAGCGCTAGCGCCAGTCCTCCGGTCGAGGACGCGCGCCGGTCCCGAAAACAGAGCCTCAGAGGCCTCGGATCTGGCTCCCACATGGTTCCCGCCAGCCGCCGGGGCCCAGTCCCGTACGGCCGAGGATTCTCTTACCGGCCCACATCTCCAGCCGCCTCGCTCCTCAGCAGCTGTTCCCGCCCGCCGCGCCTTCAAAGCCACCAATCGCAGTGTCCGCCGCCTCCAGGCTCCGCCCACCGGAGCCCAAACCTTGGATTGTGCCTCGCGCACAGGGGACCGCCTGGAGGGGGCGGCAGGAGTGAAACTCGCCGAGGCCCCGCGCCAGTCCTCTTAGTAGAGGAGGTTGTTTCAGTCAAGCCTAGTGTCAGTCACGAAACTTGGCTTGTTGGTTCGACTCGCCGTTTAGGCCCGCGGTGCCTCAGCGCCTCGCTCTTTTTCCCCCCGTAGTGCCCGGATGTGGGCACGTCCGGGCCGGGTGGCGCATGCGCCTCAGCTGTGGGCGGCGGGGCGGGCCGCGCCGTGTCCGCTGTGGAGGCCGCCGGGGCGTCCGCCGCCTGCGCAGCCACGGGGCTCCGGGCTCGCAACCAGCCGGCTCTCAGCGCAGGAGTGTCCGTCGCTGGACCGCTTCAGCCCTCCCGGTGTGGCCGCGAGTCGGGTGAGTCTCGGGAGTCAGGGCTGTTCTGAGGAGCGATCCCTTGTCCCTGGTTCGGTCCCCTGAGGGCGCGCGTGCTGCCGGGGCTGCCCGCCGGCCCTCGGAGGTCGCGGCCCGGCGTCCTCGCTCCCGCTGGTCCCAGCCGGGCCGCTGCGCCGGGGGATTTGCAGGTGCGGCTGCAGGTGCGTCCCGAGGTCTTTCCTCTGGCGTTTGGTTGGGGCACGCAGGTGGTTAAGAGCAGGCTGTGGGCGTCGCTCGCTGTTGGAATCCGCCCGCCACTCTCCAGCCTGGCGACCTTGGGCGGCTCCTCGGTTCTCCGAGCCTTGGCTTCCTAGCTTGTAAAATGGGTATAACCTACCTTCACGCCGTGTTTGAGTTGCCGAGCGCTCCGTAAAGTGCGTTGTCGTTATTGTTTACCTGGGAGTTGAGAACTTGCGTGCAGAAAGTGGGGGTCTGTTGCCGCGCGTCCCAGCTGCAGTGAAAGTTGTCTCATCCCTCTTGGGATGTGAGAGCCCTCTAAGATCTCCATCAGTGCGTTTTTCAAGGAAAGTGGACATTCGGATCTCTTTTCTTTGGTTTAAAGACGATGGCGCTTGTGTTTTCACAGCAGGCGTTTTGTGTGGAGTCGTAAATAAGTCAAAGTTTTGGAAACCTTCGTTTAAAACTTTAAATGCATAGAAGCTTGCAATGGCAAAGGAATCGTGTGTGATGCCTTTTGTATCTCTCATACGTGCAAGCTTTTACACTTGTTTAGTTGATTTAAAATGAGCCTCTTTCCATCCTTTTTTTTTTTTTACTGTGTCGAGATCTGAACTAAATTCTCATGAATAATCGTGAATTCAGCATTCAGCAAGCGTTTATTGGGCATTTACTATGTGCATTTACAAGAATACTCACTTATTCGGTAGCCTGTGCATTCTTTGAGGTTTATGGACTGATTTTTTATTTATGTTTTTGAAATTCACATGACTTGTCAGAGTGCTAAGAAGTATCATGAATGTTCAAGGAAAGCAACAACGTGAGCCGGTTCCTCGAGAACACTTAATCAGTAGCAGCTGTTTAGATTTGGTCACTTTGTGGTGGGATAAGTAGAAGTGGGTAGGGTAGGCAGTCTCCTGTGTCTACTACCTCCGCTATGACATGGTTCATAGTTTGAAAAAGTTGGAAAATACTAATTTAAATAATACCAGGGCTTTCTGAAACGTAGTCTTTTAAAAATGTGTGTTAGAAAGCATAAAGTATTAATTTACAGGATTCCCCCCCCTGGAGAACGGCTTCTTCAGACTGAACAACAGACTCTTCTGGCTTTATTTTTGTATATTTTAAGACAACATTAGAAATTATAACTGTAGTGTAAATTTCTTCCTGTGCATGCACACAATAGCAAAATCTTTCTAAAGAAAAACCAAGTGGCATTAAAATATAAGGTTCTTCCCCGTGATTATAGATTTGCTGGAGTGTGTTATTAGAATGCTTATCCCTTTTCTTTTGGCTAGGGTTAATATTGCTTGATTTTGATTTATTTATTTTCTAAAATTGTGCCACCTGGTGGTTGAAATCTGCTGTCTGTCATAGAATATTCATTAGGGAAATTTTACCTCTGAGTAGTAGACTAAGGTGAAGGAATGAATGAAACAAGACTATAATTTTTCTATTTTCAGTGAGAGTACCCTGCTGCTTTTACCCTCCCAGCCAAGTCCCAAGGAAAAGTTAAAATTGCTTTGTTAGGGGCCCGTTAACCAGATATCAAAACATCACATTTTCACAGTTGAACATTTTAAGGAGTTTCAGTGGATTGTTTTGCTATTGTGTACATACTTAAGGAAGTGGGTGCGGCTGGCATGGGGATGGAGGTGGTGTACTTGTGACAAGTATACCTTTTCGGTGTTGTCTAAATGCCGGTGTAAAGGTGGGACTGAAGTTTTGTGTTTAAATAATAGCAGTTTGATGGAATTTATGCCTCCTCTTCTTGCTCCCAATGGAAGCACCGAGGCAAGAGGTCTATGTTCCTTTCACTTTATTTCAGTGGTGCTGCTCATGTTCATAATTACCTTGGCACTACCCTTTTGAAATTATTTTCTGTATTCTTAGTACCAGTGAGTGTTTATCCTTTGCATGTGCATTTTATTTCAGGGGATAGCTTAAAATAAATTATGAACTAGATTTGAGAAGTTAAGAACGCAATGTAAGAATATACTCTATGACATCTTTAATTGATGTAGCCAATCTCTTTTGGACAAGTTACAACTGCAGATAACTCAGATCTTCACACTACAGCCTGTTACATTGTTGGACATCCAAGATGATAACATCTGTCTTTGCAGTTCCACCCTTTGATTTGCAGTCCTGTCCTCAGACACATCACAGAGTAAATCAGTTCAGCCTTTCCTAGCATATGACTGAGAATTTCAGATCTACAAATAGTACTTTACATATGTCACACTCACTGTTTACTTTTTCAGATACTCCTACATATGTCATTTTAAACCTATGACAACACCAAGATATAGGTTCAAGAGCTAATTCCACTTTATAGAAGAAGAGACTTAGGTCTCAGTAACTGAAGTGACATAACTTGTGAATAGCTGACCAGTGACATGTTCAATGCTGTTCTTTTAATCTAGATAGATCTTGTATTTCCAATAATACAAGATAATACTATATTTATTTATTTGTTTGTTTATTTTTTTGAGACAGTTTCGCTTTGTTGCCCAAGCTAGAGTGAGTGCCATGGCGTCAGCCTAGCTCACAGCAACCTCAAACTCCTGGGCTCAAGCAATCCTGCTGCCTCAGCCTCTCGAGGAGCTGGGACTGCAGGCATGCTCCACCATGCCTGGCTAATTTTTTCTATATATATTAGTTGGCCAATTAATTTTTTTCTGTTTATAGTAGAGATGGGGTCTCACTATTGCTCAGGCTGGTTTTGAGCTCATGACCTCGAGCAATCCTCCCGCCTTGGCCTCCCAGAGTGCTAGGATTACAGGCGTGAGCCACTGTGCCCGGCCTTGGCTGCATTTTCATTTTCCATTTCAAGTAACTACTTAGCTGGGTGCAACAGCCTGATTTGTGATCTTGAGCTGTGGTATGTTTTTTTGTGTGTGTTTTTAGTAGTTAATGAATGGAACAGTGATCTACTGGCATTTTTACAAGTTGCAATCTGAAATAATAGCTATACTCTAATCCTCAGGAATTATAATATTTGTTCAGACTTTTAAATTTTTATTTTTTAACAGCTTTATTGAGGTATAATTTACATACTATAAAATTCACTTATTGTAAGTAAATTGAATAATTTAGTAAATGTATAGAGTTGTGCAGCCATTACCACAATTCAGTTTTAGAACATTTTTGTCACCCCAAAAAGTTATTTTTTGTCCATTTGCAAATTAATCACTGTCCTCACCTTTCAGTCCTAGGCAACCAATGATCTTTTTGTTTCTATAAATTTGCCTTTTCTAGACATTGTGTATAATATGTAGTCTTTTGCATCAGGCTTTTTTCATTTAGTGTAGGGTTTTTGAGGTTTATCCGTGTGGGAGAGTGCATCAGTAGTTCATTCCTTTTAATTGCTAAATGGTATTCCATTGTATATATGCACCCATTTTGTGTATCCATTTATCTCTCATCTGCCATTTGGGTGATTTCCAGTATTGGCTATTGTGAATAGTGCTCATATGACCATTCATATACATGTCTTTGTGTAGATAATGCGTTTTCATTTCTCTTGGAGTGCAACTAGGTCGTGTTGAGTTTGTTTTCAGCTTATTAAGAAACTGCTAAATTGTTTCCTAAGGTGTCAGTACACTTACATTCCCGATAGCAATGCATGAGGTCTAGTTTCTCCACATCCTAACTAATGTCTTCGTATTGTCTGACTTTTTGATCATAGCTGTTCTGGTGGGTGTCGTGGTATCTCAAGGTTTTAATTTATTTTCCTAAAGACTAATGATGAGGAGCATCTTTTCATATGCATAATTAACCCATTCCTATATATTTTTTGGTAAAATAGTGATTCAAACTTTTCCCTGTATTTTTTTTATTTTTTATTTTAGTGTATTAATGGGGTACAAGTGTTAAGGTTACATATATTGCCCATGCCCCCCTCCCCCCTGGAGTAAGATCTTCAAGCATGTCCATCCCCCAAATGTTGCATATCTTACTCGTTGTGGTTGTATATACCCATCCATTCCTCCCCCCTCCCACCCTCCCGACACCGGATAAATGTTGCTCCTATATGTCCACTTTAGTTTTGATTTGCATTTTCCTGATGATTAGAGATGTTTAACATATTTTTATATGTTTGTTGGCCATTATTCTGTCTTCTTTGAGAAGTTTCTGTTCATGTCCTTTGCCCATTTTTTGATAGGGTTATTTGATTTTTTCTTGCTGATTTTCCTGAGTTCTAAATAGGTTCTAGTTATCAGCCCTTTATCAGATGTGTAGCTTGCAAAAATTTTCTCCTATTCTGTGGGTTGTCTGTTTGCTCTCTTCACGGTTTCTTTGGCTGTGCAGAAGCTTTTTAATTTGATCAGGTCCCATTTGTTTATTTTTGTTGCTGTTGTGATTGCCTTTGGGGTCTTCTTCATAAATTCTTTGCTTAGGCCAATGTCTAGAAGAGTATTTCCAACATTTTCCTCTAGAATTCTAATAGTTTCACACCTAAGGTTCAAGTCTGTTACCCAGCGTGAGTTGATTTTTGTGAGAGGTGAAAGGTGTGGGTCTTGTTTCAGTCTTCTACATATGGCTATCCAGTTTTCCCAGCACCATTTCTTGAATAAGGATTCTTTTCCCCGGTATATGTTTTTATCTGCTTTGTCGAAGATTAGTTGGCTATATGAGGATGGTTTTATGTCTGGGTTCTCTGTTCTGTTCCACTGGTCAGTGTCCCTGTTCTTGTGCCAGTCCCAAGCTGTTATAATGACTATAGCCTTGTTGTATAGTTTGAAGTCTGGTAAATTGATACCTCCTATTTTGTTTTTATTGATTAGGATTGATTTTGCTATATGGGGTCTTCTCTGGTTCCATACAAAGTATAAAATTATTTTTCTATTTCTGTGAAAAATGATGATGGTATTTTGATAGGGATTGCGTTGACTTTGTAGGTCACTTTAGGTAGTATAGACATTTTAACAATGTTGATTTTGCCGACCCATGCGCATAGTATATTCTTCCATCTGTTTACGTCCTCTGCTATTTCCTTCTTCAGTGTTTCATAGTTCTCCATGTAGAGGTCTTTTACCTCCTTAAATAATTCCAAGGTACTTTATTTTCTTTGTTGCTATTTTGAAGAGAATTGAGTCTTTGATTTGGTTATCACTTGTACTGTTATTGGCGTATATGAATGCCTCTGATTTCTGTGTATAGTTTTTGTATCCTGAGACTTTACCAAATTCATTTATCAGATCAGGGAGTCTCTTGGTTGAATCCTTGGGGTTTTCTAGGTATAATATCATGTCATCAGCGAAGAGTGAGAGTTTGATCTCTTCTGCTCCCATTTGGATGCCCTTAATTCCTCTCTCTTGTCTGATTGCTGTAGCGAGGACTTGAGTCTGTTTTAAAATTCTTTGAAAAGAAAATAAAAAATCCCAAAAAGCAAATAAAATTGATTGATTGTCTCCTCTCCCCCGCCACCCTACAGAGTCTCGCCCTGTCATCCAGGCTGCAGTATGGTGGCCTGATCATAGCTCACTATAACCTTGAACTCCTGGGCTCAAGAGATCCTCCTACCTCAGCCTCCTTAGAAGCTGTAACTACAGGCACATGGCACTTCAAGTGGCTAATTTAAAAACATTTCTTTTAGAGACAGGGTCTCACTATGTTGTCCAGGCTGGTCTTAAACTCCTGGCCTCAAGTAATCCTCCCACCTCGGCCTCCTAAACTGCTAGGATTACAGGCATGAGCCACAGCACGACAAATGAATGAATGAGTGAGTGAGTGAATGAATATTATGTTGTGCAAACATCACCACCATCCACCTCCATAACACTTTTCCCTATTCTAACCCTTCCTCAAGGCAAATATTATACCATTCCATTAATACTTTCTGTCTCTGTAATTTTGACTCTTCTAAGTACCTCATATAAGTGGAATTGTACAGTAATTAGTCTTTTTGTGACTTATTTCACTCAGCATGCCCTCATAGTTCATCCATGTTGTAGCATATGTTAGAATTTCCTGCCTTTTTAAGGCTGAATAATATTTCATTGTATGTGTATACCACATTGTGCCTATCCATCCATCTAAGGTTCAAGTCTGTTACCCAGCGTGAGTTGATTTTTGTGAGAGGTGAAAGGTGTGGTTCTTGTTTCAGTCTTCTACATATGGCTATCCAGTTTTCCCAGCACCATTTCTCGAATAAGGATTCTTTTCCCCGGTGTATGTTTTTATCTGCTTTGTCGAAGATTAGTTGGCTATATGAGGATGGTTTTATTTATTTATTTTTTTTTTGAGACAGAGTCTCGCTTTGTTGCCCAGGCTAGAGTGAGTGCCGTGGCGTCAGCCTGGCTCATAGCAACCTCAATCTCCTGGGCTCAGCGATCCTACTGCCTCAGCCTCCCGAGTAGCTGGGACTACAGGCATGTGCCACCATGCCCGGCTAATTTTTTTTTGTATATATATTTTTAGTTGGTCAATTAATTTCTTTCTGTTTTTTGGTAGAGACGGGGTCTCGCTCAGGCTGGTTTTGAACTCCTGACCTTGAGCTATCCGCCCGCCTCGGCCTCCCAAAGTGCTAGGATTACAGGCGTGAGCCACCGCGCCCGGCGAGGATGGTTTTATGTCTGGGTTCTCTGTTCTGTTCCACTGGTCAGTGTCCCTGTTCTTGTGCCAGTACCAAGCTGTTTTAATGTTGGACATGTGGGTTGTTACCATGTTTTAGCTGTTGTAAATAATATGTTATGCACGTGGGTGTACAAATACCTCTTCAAGACTCTGCTTTCAGTTCTTTTGGATACATAACCAGAAGTGGAATTGCTGTGTCATATGGTAATTGTATTTTTAATTTTTTGAAGAAACGCTATACCATTTTCCATAGCGGCTGTCTCGATTTACTTTCCTCCAACAGTGCACAAGGGCTCCAATTTCTCCTATATGCTCTCTTCAACACTTGTTTTCTGTTTTTTGTTTGTTTGTTTGTTTTTGTTTTTTTAACTATACAGTAGGAACATTTATTTTAACACTTCTAAAAGATATTTCTCCATGCCTGATGATTTGATATAAAAATCAAACCCATCATACATTCCCGTTTTTTTTGTTTGTTTGTTTTGTTTTGTTTTTATAGTAGCCGTCCTAATGGGTGTGAGGTGGTTCCTGTATTTTCATTTTTGGAACTTTTAAAAGATTAAAGCAATTAATTGATTCTTTTGGTAATCATTTCTGAGTTAGAATTGGTTTTTTTAAAAAAAAGGATAGATGAATAGCACTAAATAACTATAGCAAACACCTCAAAATAATGTTTTTCCTTTGACCTTGGCTGCTAATTTCCTACTTTGTGAATGAACCAATTTAACTTAATTTCAGGGATTCTAGCTTCATGTTTTCATTGTAATAATTAGTTTTATGGATGTATAAAAATAAATGTATAAAAAATAATTAGTTTTATGGATGTATTAGTTTTATGGATGCTAAATTTGAAATTTTTTTTCCACAGTCTGCTTCTTGTTTCACGTCATTGTTCAGTTAGGTTTTTCCAGCCAGATGTTATGAAGAGAGCAATCTATATTAATTCACACTAATGTGGGACTGACTAATGGCCCTTTAACTGTCTCAGAGGTACATACATTTTAAAAGGACTAATAAACCAAGTCTCTTAATTGGTAGAATTTCATCTGACCGAAATGAGTTGTAATCAATTTTTGGATTGTGGGGAAAATATGTGAAGTCAGGCTTATTAATATATAGGCAAGCTGTTTCTGCTTGAGCACTTATTTGGGTCTCTTGAGGATTCCTGCTTTTGTCCCTCTGAACTTGGAGGTTCTCTAGGCACTACTGAAAGCTTGCTGTGTATGTTAAACCATTGGATAAGGAAGCTGAGGCTCAAGTTTAGTACTTGGCCTAAGGTCACACAACTGGTTAATGGTTAACATTATTTTCTGATAAAGGTCACTTAGGGTTCTTACCGAAAATGCTTTTAGATGGTCTTAACACATATAGTCATGTATATTCAAGACACTCTTGTATCCACAGGTTGCACTGCTGTGATCCATCACCTTCCAAAGATGCATCCTGATTTATCTCCACACTTGCACACTGAAGAATGCAACATCTTGATTAACTTGCTTAAGGAATGTCACAAAAATGTAAGAGTTCAGAAAAATGACTACTAAAGCCAAAATGAAACTTAGGTATAACACCCTGATGTAAAATGTTACTATATCTCCATTAGTGGAAGGGAATGATGCTGTTTTAGTAATGGGTCTAAGCTTAGTAAAGATTAGCAATTGATGTGGGTGATATTTCAGAAACATCTGCTTTTATGATTAGTAAAAATCAAGCGTGGTAGTTTGTTAGGGAATTTCTGAAATGGTATGCGATAGTTGGAATCCATGTTTTTAAACTAGAACAATTATATTCAGCTCTGACTCTTCTGATCATAGTGAAATTATTCTGTGATCATCTGCTTTTTGATGGCTACCATTCTGTGTTTAATGGTAATAGAAACATTTTATGTAGTTAGATGTTAACTAGATTTGATTTATGATTGGCCTAATCTGATATATTTACTTAAGTTTTAGTGGAATGGAAGTAACATTCCATGGTTGAAACCCAAATAGAAAAAGAGCCCATATTTGGAATGCGTTAAATCAAGCTGATATTTTTATAACTGTTGAATATTTAGCTTTTTAAAATATATTTGATGCATGACATTTGTTATGAGAAGCATTTGTGGTTTTTTGATAATTTTTCATGATGCATTAGTTATTTTTCTCGAGATATTCATTAACTGTAGATATATCAAATTAAAATAATAGTATCACTTAAGTGAGTAAAATTTAAAGACCAAAAGTAAGGTGGTAAGTAATACTAGTAATGTGTGCAGTCAGATATTTTTACCAGTTCAAAGAATGTTGTCAATGACAGTATACTTTAGGCTGTGTATTTTCACCATATATTAGATCAAGAATTGGGAGTTTTCATACACCCACTTACTGACTCAACTGAAAAATGAGCCAGGCTAGTAAAATGTAACTTTTAGATTTTTTGAAAGTAAAAATGTAAATGTTTACTTTTTAAGGAACAGGAACTGATTTGTATTGACTTAATGCACATATTTTAATTCTGTATATTGTCAGTTATAGGCAGAAACAGTAAAGGAGAGGATCTGCCAACAGAGGCACAGTGGAAAGAAAGGGACTTGTGGAACAACATGTCAATCTGTTATTGAGCATTTTGCCAGTACAGCCCTTAGAAGTGTGTTGTGTTTTCATAATGCTAGACATAAATAAGGGTATTATCTCTTCATATTTATTTCCTAAGTTAGGTTAAGGGCCAGAGTTTTTCAATCCTTGATTTTAACTAAACTTCGTTACTTGTTATTTTTGCATATTGTCTTTTGGTCCATGACTACTTTAAATTGGAATAAAATTAAGCATTATTTTTTTTCCCTTTGAAAAGGATTTCTTATAATAAAAGTGGCATCTCAAAACACTGGAGCAAAAGATGGACTTTTCAAAAAATTAACCTTTTTGAAGTAAATTTATGTGTAATAAAATACATCTATTTTAAGTGTACAGTTTGATGAGTTTTGACAAATATAAACACCCATATAACCATCATCACATTGAAGATCTAAAACATTTCTCTCAAAAAGGTCCATGTGCTCCTTTGTATTGAGCCTCAACCCTCACCTCTGGCCCAGGTAACCACTGAAGTACTTTTCGTTGCTATAGATTAGTTTTGCTATTCTAGAATTTGTTATAAATGTACTCTACGTTGAATATTCTTGTATTTTGCTCCACATAGGTTTTTGAGCTTCATACATGCTGTTGCATGTGTCCTTAGTTCATTCATTTTTACTTCTGAGTGGTATGTCATTATATGGACCTGCCACAGTTTATCTGCCTATTGATGGACATTTAGTTTGTTTGCAGTTGTGCTATTTTGGATAAAGCTGCTAGAAACGTTCATGTACAAATCTTTGTTTGGACATCTTTTTTTTTTTTTTTTTTGAGACAGCGTCTTACTTTGTTGCCTAGGCTAGAGTGAGTGCCGTGGTGTCAGCCTAGCTCACAGCAACCTCAAACTCCTGGGCTCAAGCAATCCTCCTGCCTCAGCCTCCCGAGTAGCTGGGACTACAGGCATGCGCCACCATGCCTGGCTAATTTTTTCTATATATATTTTTAGTTGGTCAATTAATTTCTTTCTATTTTTGGTAGAGATGGGGTCTTGCTCAGGCTGGTTTACTCCTGACCTTGAGCAATCCTTCCGCCTCGGCCTCCCAGAGTGCTCGGATTACAGGTGTGAGCCACCGTGCCCGGCCTGTTTGGACATCTTTTTATTTCTCTTGGGTAAATACCTACGAATAGAATGACTAGGTCATGTGTTCAGAATATGTTTAACTTTATAAGAAGCTGCCAAACTGTTTTCCATTCTGTATTATTCCAGCTCCCTATCCTCACCAGCTCCCTCTCCTCACCAGCTCTTGATATTGTTGATCTTTATAACTTCAGCTGTTTTATGGGTATGTAGCAGTATCTCATTTTGGTTTTTAATTGTGTTTCCCTGGTGGCTAATGATTTTCAGCATGTTTTCATGTGCTTATTAGCCATTCATATAAAATCGTTTGCCCCTATTTAAAAATGGGTTGTTTGTCTTGTGGTTGAGTCATAAGCATTCTGTTTATCATTTGGCATACAAATTTTTTGTCTGATATATTACGGTATATTATGACAGAGTCTCGCTTTGTTGCCCAGGCTAGAGTAAGTGTCATGTCATCAGCCTGGCTCACAGCAACCTCAAACTCCTGGGCTCAAGCAATCCTCCTGCCTCAGCCTCCCGAGTAGCTGGGACTACAGGCATGCGCCACCATGCCTGGCTAATTTTTTCTATATATATTAGTTGGCCAATTAATTTCTTTCTATTTATAGTAGAGACGGGGTCTCGCTCTTGCTCAGGCTGGTTTCGAACTCCTGACTTCGAGCTATCTGCCCGCCTGGGCCTCCCAGAGTGCTAGGATTACAGGCGTGAGCTACCGTGCCCGGCCATGAATTTTTTTTTTTTTTTTGGTCTGTGGCATTCCTTTTTATTTTCTTAAGGATGTGTTTCAAAGAGCAGCTTGTATATTTGATCAAGTCTTATTTATCTTTTTTTTCCCCACCTGAGACAGTCTCTTTCTGTCACCCTGGGTAGAGTACATTGGTGTCATTATAGCTCATTGCAACCTCAAACTCCTGGGCTCAGGCAATCTTCTTGCTTCAGTCTCCTGAGTAGCCAGGACTATAGGCTCATGCCACACCACAATGCCTGGCTAATTCATTTTTTTCTTTTATAATCATTTTTTTCCTGTGTCCTAAGGGTCACTGTATATTCTTTTGTTTTTCCTTCTAGAGTTTTCTAGTTTAAGCATTTACATTTACGTCTATGATTTATTTCAAGTTAATTTTTGTGTATGGTATGAGGTATAGTTGAACTTCATTTTCTTTGCCTGTGGATATCCAGTTGTTTCAACACCATTTGTTGAAGAAACTATTCTTTTCCCACTCATTTACATGATCCCTTTGTCAAAAATCAATTGACCATATATCAGTGGGTCTATTTCTGGGCTCTCTAATCTGTTCCACTGATTTATATTTCTATTCTTAGCACTAGTACCACACTGTCTTGATTACTGTTGCCTTGCAGTAAGTCTCGAAATCAAATCATGTAAATCCTCCAACTCTGTCCTTTTTCAAAGTTGCTTTGGCTATTTTGGGTTCTTTCCATTTCCATATTAATTTTAGAATCAGCTTGTCAATTTCTACAAAAATATGTTTACTAGTTTTCATATGAGGCTGAATATTATTGACCACTTGGATTTTCTCTTTTCGGTTGGCAGGAAATGTTTGATCCTTTTCTTTAGGCATGTTTTTAAGTACTTTTGGGGCATGTCTGGAGTAGCATTTACTCTGGGGTTAGTTTAGCCCAGCTACTCAAGCATGATTTTTCTTGATTCTCTCTACTGATGGACTTGAGTGTTCATTGAGCTCTCTACTTTTGCCTGTGAGAACTTCATTGACTGCCATCCCTGTCTAGCTCTCTGCATTTTTCAGCTTACAGCTGCTGTAGTTCTTTGTAGTTACTGTGGCCTTGTGAAGTTTCATCCAACACATGTACAGATGAATGCTCAGTGACTCAAGGGAACCCCATGTAGATTTCTGGAGTGGTTTTTTTTTTCCTGTGTATCTCTCCCTCACAAATTCCAGCTGCCTCAACCTCCCTGAACTCTGATATCTGTTGCCTGAGCTCAGTGAGACCTTTATTCTCTTCTTGAATTCTCTTTCCCTGCTACGTGGTTTGGAAATTGCCTCTAAGGGTTCACCTTATTTTATTTCCTTCTCAGGTATCACAGTCCTGCACAGTCTGTTATCCCAATGTCTGTCCCAATGTTCCATATATTTTATCTAGTTTTCGAGTTGTTGGGAGGGCTAGTTTTTACCAGTTATTCCTTCATGGACAGAAACAGAAGTTTTTTGGTTAGATTTTTAAATAAATGGCACAGGGACAATTAATAGAGCCATTTGGAAAAAAGTAAAATACTTAACATATAAATCAACTTGTAATGGATCATATATGCCAATAATGAAGTAATACAGATACTAAGAAAACATGGGTAAATTCCTTTATAACCTGAAGGTAGGGAAAGGCAGCTTAACTAGGACTCTAAATTCCAGAGGCAATAAAATCAAAGATTGGTAAATTTGCATTATTTGCATTACAAAAAATGTAGAGTCAAAAGGCCACTTCTTAAAACCGGAGACAGTATTGATAACACGTGGCACAGGTAATGAGATAATAGCCCTGATATTATAAATGCAGGGCCCTTAAAAATTGAGAGGAAGAAGAGGCCAAAAATCAAAGCAAAAAATGAGCAAAAGCATGAACAATTTACAAAAAGAGGAAAGATGACCTTAAATATATGTAAAGATGTTCAACCTCACTCAGTAGTTAGAGAAACACAAATTAAATATGCTGAGATACCATTCCTCAGGAGGCAAATTTAAACAGTATGACATCCATCAGTCAGTCCATTGCAAAAGAAATAGGAAAAAGAAAATAAACAGTATGACAGTTTATTCTGTTGGGGAGGTAGTGGGAGAAGGAT